CCGATTTTTCTTTTTTTTTGGTTCACTTTAGACTGGTAACGCTTAAAGGGTTTTGGGATGGAAAAACATTTCAAAACGTAATCTCGCGAGAGTTACAGACACGTGACCTTATTCACACGAGACTTTACGGTTACGTAACGTCAGCAATTGATCAAAAGGGCAAGGAAGTTTATATCGTCCACCGTCTCTGTTAAGTGATGGCTGGAGAATAAAATTCAACATTTGACTATGATTACTACCAACAGATCAATTTTCATGACAAACTGACAGTATTCTATACGGGCGTCGTACAAAATTCAGCCGAAAAGGTCTTAGATTTTTATCTGTGGTTGGATCTGTAACAGGCTGCTTGGAAATGTCACGACATCAAAATCGTACCACGAACTACGACAACCGCACCGCTTGCGCTTAAGATATAGAAAATCTATAAACAAAATAGCACTTAAGAAAGCAAAAGACTTCCTCAATTAAGCTATAGCCATTTATGTATCGCCTGCATTCACAAAATGATTAATTTTACATGGCCCCAAAGTGCCCAATCGAGAGGAATAATTTTCCTACAAGTTGGTCTTTGATAAGAGAGCAATTGCCTTTGCCCTTGGGCTTTATAATTGGTAGGCACTAGCAGTATGCTGTAATTGGGCGGGAGACCTTGAATGGCAAAATTGTCAAATTGATCTAAAAAGACAAAGTACAGAACGACTATTGGTTGTTAATGGCGGAAATAGAACTCCAGTGGGACCATTCCGTACCTATGGCGAAACAACTGTGTGTCCAATAAACAATAGAACACGACAGAGGAAAGAGCGATAGATAGATAGATAGATAGACAGATAGATAGATAGATAGATAGATAGATAGATAGATGGATAGATAGATAGAGAGATCGATAGAAAGATAGAAAGATAGAGAGATAGAGATAGATAGGTAGATAGATATAGATAGATGGAAAGATAGATATATAGATAGAGAGATAGACTTAGACAAACGATAGCTGTCTTGCCGCAAAAAATGCTATCATAAAGCACTGGCACAGAAAATGTTGTCTAAAAGCATTGCCACAAAAAAATGCTGTCTAAAAGCATTACCGCAGAAAATATATATGCTGTCTATAAAAGCATTGCCTCACAAATTCGAAAATGCTGTCTTACGCACAGCCACAGAAAATGCTGTCTTAAGGCATTGCCACAAAAAAAATGCTGTCTTAAAGCATTGCCACTGAAAATGCTACCCTTAAAGCATTCTCGGCAGTACCTTGGTTCAGTCGAAGCCTACTTGGGAGTCGCACGACATAAAATTCGTACGACGTACGTCCCACTAGAAATACAACCGCGCCCTACCAGCACAGTTAGAAGAAATAAATGCTATTACAGTATTAATGACTGGTAATCTGGACATCCATCACTTCCAAGCACTTAAAACACTGGTCTTCTCTACAGGATACAACTTGATAAAGGGATTGGAATAGAGGGATTTAGCAGGTGCTCCACATTCTGTGTGCTAATTTGTTTCAACAACAGCAAGTGTCGTGAAGTAGGTTACCCGCGCTTTGAGCATCCGGCGAAACCCATTAGAAAGCATTAAGTGGATCATGGAGTGTCCTGTTGATGCATTGGTTATAACTAATACAGACATTCATCAATTGATTTTTATCTTAAAGCTGCATTATGCAACATTACGAAGATACAAAAAGTCACTTTTCTGGTCATTTTGTCAAGTAAGGCCACACCGCCTTAATTTTATGGATGACATCCTCTGAAGACCCCCGAACTAGTGCGCGCGGGCGAGTAAAAAAAAATTCCGGCCAAAAATAAAAATGCTACTAATCCACAGGAATACAAAGCTGGTATTGTGAATTTGCGGGAGTACATATACGACAAGCCGGCACATGCTGGCTCGATGCTGAATTTATGAATCAGCACTGTTCTTGAGTCCTGGAGCTTTGGCAGCCTGGGTGCCATCCTCCAGAGTTACCACCGGCTCCGTACTGTCGCTAACTACCATGGACTACCCGGGCCTAGAGCCAGGCCAGAGCCTCGGAGGACGTGATTTTTTTGTAGGACAGTCGGAAATAAAAATCAATGCGCGCGCGGATGGCATCCATAAAATTAAGTCGGTGTGGCCTAAGTTGAATCAACCCTACTCCATGGCAAATGAGTAGGTGAAGAGAATGTGCCTTACGATTGTGTTTAAAAGCAGGAAACACAGCTAGCTGTCAGTCATGTTTGTTTACAAGAAACCTGGGTCATTCTCATGTGGGCTGTTTTAGCCTAAAAATGTCAGAAGTGTTAGATAATTGCATATAGATATGTTGAAAATTGGAAATGCAACCATACAAGATTTGTTGCAATTACAACGTTTCAAATTTGGCGCAAAAATTTAGGGAATATTTCAGAATGCTGAATATTTCAGAATCTGAATATTTCAGAATCGGGCAATCGACACATAGTCCTCTTGTGCATTGATAATAATTGAGGGTACACGCCCATATTTGTTCTGTTTTAAAAGTCCCACATTTTAAAGGCCGTTGGTCCCGACCTCTCGTGCCCCGGGTTTCTCTATTTCCCATCGGCCCTTTAGTCCAATAGAACAGATGTCCTCCTGTGACCTCGGGGTTAAAGGTCAGGACCGGTCATTGTTGACACCGTTTTGCCGATAACATGACCTGAGTCGGCCCTAAAATTCATTTGGTCACGTCTCTTATATGTAATGGCAATGGGCTTGTCTGTACCACAGTCTTTCTGTTGCTTAAAACATCTTTGCAAGGCAAATTATTTTGCCTATTTCACCAATGTCTACTATCATATACTAGATTTACATTATATATATTATATATATATAGAGAGAGAGAGAGAGAGAGAGAAAGATGTATATATAGATAGATAGATAGATAGATAGATAGATAGATAGATAGATAGATAGATAGATAGATAGATAGATATAGATAGAGGGGAGAGGGAGAGAGAGGGAGGGAGAGGGAGAGAGAGAGGGAGGGAGAGGGAGAGAGAGGGAGAGAGAGAGGGAGGGAGAGGGAGCTGGGAGAGGGGGCATATATTTAGAAAGAGAGTAAATAAATAAAAACAGATAGATACACATGTACAGTAACTAGCACACACCCTCTCCAACTTACAAACTTTAAGCTGTACTGAGTTTACTGCCTCTATGGTGAAATATTGTCATCACGTGGTATCTGACAAGGCAGGATTACAACAGTCGTAAAAAGCATCCCAAAGCCAGTCCACGGTTATAAACGTTTCTGGTTAATGATGATTTGTTGTTACCCCGAATAACAACACGTGTAGTGCACGTCGTAACTCAGGCGTTGCTCTGAAAGGTGAATGGTACGTCTGAGGCCCTCATACAAGTGTCTGGCTTACGCCTGACTTTCTATGTCATCGATCTCCTATTCATCAATCGATTCAAGCATCACCATGGGCTTTGTTTTAATCTTTCACTTGCTAAGTATGCACATGTTCGGAGACTAAACATATTTTTTGCTTTTTTTTCACTGCCGGTTGTGTGGTATAGATTCTGGTCACATTCTGCGAATGCTGGTCTAGTATCAGATCAGCTTTATGTAAACTATTAATAATGATGAAACAGAACGTGCTATGAGAATATGACAGTTTTTGCTTTTGTTTGTTTATTTTTGTAGGGGAGATTCTGTGAGTGAATTTTGACCCTCCCCCCTCAAAAAATAACCTTTGATTTGATAACATTTATTCCTTTCTCCTTGCAAATATTTCTACCTTCAGCAAATCTACCTTTTCAGTCAATTTTGTGGTCATTCTTTTAATGTAGAATGTTGACTCAATCCTAGCATACTGATATCTGTAAGGAAACATTTGTGTGGTATGCGGAAAATAGGCTCGTTATAGCTATCTATGGGCAGTACCCCAAAAACAAAGGGACTCCTGGTTTGAGTCTATCTACAACGTTTCAATTATGAAATGGAAGTGAATAAGAATATCTGACATATTCCCTCATCCAGAATATTTCTTGTTTTTGACGCCTTGAAATTGCACTGGGTGCCTTTAAAACGGCCCATAACAAAAAAGGGCCTTTCAGAGAATTAACATCATTTGGGTCGTTGGTTTGGTCATAAACAACCTCTTCTGGTGACCATTTCGTCATGCTTGTTAAACACAATTCAGTGAAGGCATTAAAGCTAGCGGAATGACCCCTAAACAATGCAGTTCAGTGCGCCTTTCTTCCAATTGAATTCTACTTATAACTATTTGTCACCTTCCTTTTACATGCACGATTGCCCTTGTCTCCAACCAGAATGAGACTCGGGTAGTTTATGGGTGCTTTTGTTGGCAAGCGCCGTAAAGTTTTGGCGTTGAGCTAAATGATAGGTGTGCTTAACGATGCTTGTAAAACTAACGCCTGTGTTTCCGACACTTTTACACTTTTACGACGATTTGCTAGTTTTAATGCGAACGTATTGCTCGCTGACTTGCCAATTTTCATATCGTTGAACTGAGTCTTGTGTAAAAGTTTTGGTAATCATAGCAAGTTCGCCGCTACCAAACAAAAAACATGTCTAGAATCAAAAAATACGAAAGTTCTGCTGCAGAACCAAAGAAGGTCACCAGGAGGACCAAAATCAGCCTTGACTTTTCAAAATATCAAATATCGTCATAGTCCATCCAGATCTTCATAACTTATGCTTACCACACTCTATCCAGAGACACAGACAGACACACAGGCAGGCACACCCCAAAAAATACCTCCATTTTCACATTTTCACGGAGGTAACCAAAATCATGACGATAACAAACGGGGATCTACGCAGAGAAAGTGCATACGACATCGGACAAGCAAAAATGGCACAGATACTGATTGAGTCACCACTTTTCCATCTGGACGATAACAATGATCACTACAATAAAGAACTTCCTAAAATATCAATACAAAGTCAAGCCGAATCCCCCAGGAAATTTGGCCGTCTATATTTACTTTGCTCCGACCGAAAGGTTAGAAAATATTGGCCCTACCGTTAGATCTGTCGATAAAAGTCTGGGAGGCAGGTTGGTTATCGACGGATCCCTTTCTGTCGGCAATGCTTCAGGGACATATATGAAACACCTCGATGCTTTCATACGCTCTGTATACCTGGGAGGATGCAAAAAATGTCATTGCTGGTTGCGCTTTTAAGTTTCAATTTTGGTGACATATAACTACAACCACACTTCGAAACAGTATTCAGATCACGTGCTATACTCTTCTTCTTCAATTCCCTTTACATATTCTTAGATTAGCATAGTACAAGGACATATATAATTGCCTACGAGTCAAGACCTTTTTTATCTTTAAGTGCAGTGGATTTAAGTGGTGTCTTCACTTCTCTTTGGCTTCTTTGGCATCAAAGAAAGAATATGAATTATTGCTTTGTCATTTGTTCTGGAGTATGATGGTCCCAGTTTATGTCACAGAATAACTCGGTGTATTTTCCCTATATTCATCAAGGGTCTCTATTGTACCCAATTTAGCCATAGCACGACACAAGCCACCAACCAATAATGTTTTATTTGCACAGACGAGAGCTGGGACTAGAAATATCGTTATAAAGCCCCCTAAAAAGACTTTACAGATGAAAATGCGGCAGACATCTGACATTTATGTTCGCCTGTGCATTATAATCAATGCCAAGATAGGCCCAAAGTACAACCACAATCTGTCATTGAATGTTCTTTCCAACTTCCCCATACACAAAGTACCACCAGAGGATTTAGAAAGGTATAATCGTTAGAACATATTGAGATCTGCCGTAAGTCATGTAAAAGACATAATGGCAGCTTGTCTCATAGATATTGCTGCAGACATCCACGTATAATGTTGGTTTTATTCAAGAATGAACCAAACGTAGAAGGTTTGCCTTGGGGAGGGTTTTTTATGTACAAATAAATACACTATTCTGGGCATTATGGAACGATCTGGTATGTTTCTAACGTAGCAAAGTGGCCACATATATCATGTTCTAGCTAATGCAGTACTAGCATTTTCCAAACTTATAATGATGATAGGGATTTCCGTTGCTGGGATAGTCATAAACGTTTGTAGCAAACGTTTTATAAGATATAAATATAACTAGAAAGGTAACATTTGCCAAGCAAATACATAATGTTTGCCTTCGCATATGGTCTGCTCTCAGACTGTTAATTCTCACTCAAATACATTCATATATGTGGTCAGACAGGATTCTAAATCCACATGCTATAAAATTGCAATATGACGTAACCCAACACTAGTTACCATGGTGACAGACGTCTGTTTCAGGTTATTGGTTTGAAGAAGAAGAAGAAACAGAGCAAAAACAATATGTTTTCCTCTCTCTCTCTC